CTCCCACCATGACCAATTTGATAGGGGCTGGATGTGGGACTTGGAGCAGTGAACACTTTCTAACTGGCATTGCAAAGGTTTCTTTGGTCTGGATGCAGAGAAGACTACCATGCTTACTAGTGGGTTATATAAGGATTTGCAGTAACATGTTCCTTGATGGGAAAAAATAGGAATAAAGTGAAATTTTAGGCACTATATTAACAATGAATGATAGAATGGTAGTTAATAGATGTCTGTAATTCCATTATACAAGTGCAAGGGAAACCTCATTTGATGTGGAAAGATTCTCGTTTTTCCAGAGCTGTAATGCAGCGTGCAGTTAAAATTAGGCTGTCTCGTTAATTGTCACAGTAAATGGTGAGAATTCCTGCAGCCAGCTTCAGTGCAGGATTAGATATGGCTCTGCAGGAGACACTTTCCAGAAAGGCTCAAGGTGGGAGAGCAGCTCCACCAGGGCCCCTTGGAAGCTGGCCCTGAGGAGGGCAGAGGGAAGCGATGGGGCAGCTCTCAGCCCCTCTGTCCCTGTCTGCTCCTGCGGGGTGGGAGGCTCCAGACCTCTGTCTGTGGAGTGCTCCTGTGCCAAGCGTGTCCTGCCTCACACATCTGTGGAATAAGCTCCCCTTGTGAAGGATGAGGAGTATCTGCTCCCACTCCCTGATACCTGCCTCAATTCCTGAGCTAAGCTGTGCTGGCCAGGGGTAAGGAATGAGCAGAATCAACCCAGCCTTTAATTCTCAAAACAGTGTGGTTATTCAGGATCTAGGATGCCATAAGTCTTTTCATACCTATAAGTGGTACTTTATAGAGAGAAAAATCAGTTTAAATGAACACTGCAAGGCTGAAATGCTATTGAATGCACAAAAGAAAGCTGGAAGAAATCCCTGGGGAATACCTTTTTCTCATCTCTTTACCAGTGTCCTTTTTCCTGTCTCCTTCTCAGTGTCAGAAACTCGTCCTTCAAAAGTCACCCACTGAGGAAAGCAGATTCTTCTGCAGGATGTGAAGGGGAAACATGAGGGAAGGGTGAGTGAGTTTTGCTTTTCCCCTTACAGATCAAAGTGGTACAGCATATGCCAGGATTGCAAGTGAAGCTGTTGAGAACTTTCCATAGGACCCTAACCAGCTTTTACTTAAAAAACAGTAAAAAGGTTTATTTGGAAGGACTCCAAGAGCTTTCCTGAGAGTTCATTAAAAAACCTGAACTGTCCAATTTGAATGTGAGCAGTAGCACACAATCTCAGCTGAAAGCTCCTCGTTCTCAAACATTGAGTAACCCAAGGAATGTGAATTAACACAAACACAACCTTATCCTGTTGTGGAGGAGGAGGAAGGGGAATAAATATGTTAGATACCTGCAGGCCAAACGCACCAGGAAGTCAGTGGGAGCTTTACTAGTGGAAGAACAGCATGGCCAGACATAAAAATATGAAGGAGAGAGGATGCCAAGAAAATATTTTTCACACATTTGTGTACTGAGGGACCTATGAAGTCTAGTAAGTACAGAGGGCAGGAACTCCACCACAGTGTAACTTTCTGCTGCTTTAGCATAGCTTTCTGGCTAACTCTATTTCCCCCTTTCTGCCTACTTAGAAAAAATAAATTTACTAAGTTGTCTGATGATGCAGAAAAGACACTTCTAATGAGCTTCATAGAAACATCAGTTTTAGGTATGTTCAGTGATATTTAGCTGTCTGGACAGATGATTTTGACAATCATCCTGGATCCCTGGATCTTTCCCATCACCTTTTGTTACTCTGTTCAGATCTCCAGGCACAAGGTATTGCCTCTGATATCCAAATGTGGATTCTTTAGGTTAAGAAGTTTAATACCTGTTTATATTACTAAGATAGATGTCTAAGGCAGTCTATCATTTGAAACAAACTATCTTTTCTTATTACAAATATAGACGATTATGCAATTTTTGAAGTGTTTACTCTTTTTAGAAAGAACTACATTACTAAAAAATTAGCATAGAGAAAACTTGAAATTAATTAAAATCTGCCACTATAGTGACTAGGAGTTTTGCCTAATCAAAGTAAGAAATAAACAAAATTTGAAGAGTTAGCTGATTTTGCCTGACGTACACAAATGCACTCCCAGTCTTCCCTGGCTGTCTACAACGAGATCAGAAGTAATTTAGTGTGAGTCAGGTGGAGGTGAAACAAAACAGTCAAATGTACTTGTATTTGCAAGCAGTGTCCATCAAAATCCTCCAAGAATGGCTGGATTTGAGTAAATGCTGAGCTTTTCATAAACATTCACTGATCTAGCATACCAGATACAGTCCAGAGAATCTTGCTCTATACAGATAAGCAGAATTTCATTTAATCTTAATATTCAGAGACTGAATTCCTTTTACTTGTCCAAGTGTAACACCACAATGGTTATGTAAACTGATGCTTACATTGAGATGTTATTTTCACATGCATTTTGATGCCATATGTAAACATCAAAGAAGTGTAATAACCATCCTTAGTAGAGGTCCCAGTTCCATTTAGGAAGAGAAAATTTTGTGATTTTTTTTTTTTGACAAAATAGCAGGGTGAATTTAGATTTTTACACAACTAAATTGCAGTTTGTAACTGAAAGTAACAGATTCAATTAGAAATGGGGTAACAGTAGATTTGTTGCCTGACTCTACCAATAATTGCCTTAATATACCATTCACTTGTTAATGATGTTATCAATTATTTTACTATAAATTAGCTATTGTGAGCTTCAGGTCTTTTTGCAATGCCTGTGTCAGATCACAGCAGCATAAATCAAACTCCCATCTCTTTTTACATCCATAACCATAACGTATGGCTTTTATTAGGAAATGTTAAGTATCCTATAATGTCTTCTTAATGGACAATGTGTGTACGTGTTGATGAGGAAAGCCATCTTCCTTCATGCAAAATATTAATGCATGTGGCCTACGTCTCCATAGATACAAGTTAAAGAATCATATTTAACCCATTAAATATTGAGTACTCATATTTATCCAGTCTTAACAATCCTCTAAGGAAAGGACAAGTTAGAGGTAAATCAGGAGTTGAATTCGTAACAGGTATGCACAGGAGATTGTGAATAAATGGTACATCATCCCCTCAAAAAAAGACCCCAACAAAACCAAATCATTTTATAAAACACCTACTGCTAAATAAAAATACCTGTAGAAAATTTATATCCTTCTAGAATTCCAGCCTGTGCATCACAAAGACTCCTAATATTTGTTATAAATTTTTGTCCTTCTCCTAAAATATTATAATGCCTCCAAGAAAAAGAGTGTTTTAACCTCTGTATCCTTTTCATTGGGACAACATAATCCATTTGGCTTTCAAACCATTTCCCAAAACCTTGAACAAGCACGTTACTTTCACTTGAAATGTATTTTACCAACAGATCCCTGGGTACCAGAGAGATCTGCTATTCAGATTGCCTGCTGACACTGGGCTTGATTAATGGAAACCAAGCATTTTGAAGAATACCCTCCAACCTTGCCTTCCCCTTTCCATGTTCCCTTGGCAGAAATCAGGTATTTGAAAGCTGCAATACAACAGCATCATCTTTCCATCTTGTGGCAAATATTCTATTATTCCTTTATCCTCCATGCTGTTTAAAGGGATTAATTTAAAATATTAACTCCTTTGTTCACAGAGAAAGTCTCCAAGGGGTGTGCAAACAAGAATCTTTAGAATTGCAGCAAGATATAACTCCAGGCTCTGCTCCAGCTTTCCTCATTCATTCAGTTTGCAGACCTGGTGTCTCCCTGCTGGAGATCTCTGCTCAGACCAAGTCTCCAGCAGCTGCTATTCCACCACCCATTCATACACAGCCAGCTCCCCTCTCCCTGCTCCTTGCATTTCCACTTCTCTCTCCTCCATCCATCCATCCATCCAATTTTCTCCCTAATCTGATCTCACTTCTCAGGAACACTGATCACCCTCCCCCAGCAAAGCATCTCTCATCCCTACTGAGGGCTGGCAGAAATTAAGGTGTAACAAAGGTACATTTAAGAGTAGAGACTGTGCCAACCAATTTCTTTATGAAGGCACTATCCTCCGGTTTCCCTAGTTATCAATTTTACTATCTTGGGAGTTAATCCTGCTGCTGTTCCTGAAGCAAATGTTTTCAGTACTTTTTATTTCAGCAGAATCAGGCCCTAATTAATGTAATTATTCTCAAAGCATGAGGCGATACCTACTTGAAGCAGTCGGATGACTGTTACAGACCATTTTTATCCACACTTCTGCTGTGAACTGCACCAGTGTGCATTCCCTTCCCAAAACAATCGCAGGAACCAGGAGGGGAGGAGTTGTCCTTCAGTAGCAGGCAAGAAACCTGTCAGACACAGTGTCCCTTCTACGTGAATGAAACCTTTCCTCTGATTAATACTTTGCATTTCCCACAAGGGAAATAGTCACAGAGCGAGCAGCTGAATTGCCCATTTTCAGATGTTCATAAATATTTAACTTGCTATGTATGAGAAAAGAGAAAGGCACTGACTCCCTTTCCAGTCCAGGCTGAAACTCTCCAAATCCCCTGGTGCCACTGGGAATGCCTGCTCCCATAATCCTTTCTCCATCTCGTAAAGGGGAGAGAGCCATTAGCTTGTAAGAGGGCTGCACAAGGTGTCTTTCTTTACTGGGGGATGTCTGACTGTAAAAATCTATGCATAGAGGGAAGTTACCTGGTGTAATGGAGACCTCTCTGGCCCATGACTGGGGCCCTGCCCCAGCTGCTCTATGAGTTTTAGGAGCTATTAGAAAATAAGGGTCTCTGGAGGGGCACATCTGAGAACGCAAGCTCAGGCCTTGGTGTCTACTAGTTCCACATGCATGGGGCCTGCTTGGGAGTGTGGGTTTCATCCCCACAGACAGCACGTGATTTTTGTATGGCCACACACATGGATGCCTGCTCTGCTCTGACAGCGGAGAGAACCCTGGTGATGCTGGGAGGAAGTTGGGACCACAGGGAGGTTTGAGTGTTTTGATGAGGATGCTGATTGCATGGCTTACCCTTGCATATCTGGAGGAGTAGGGATCCTCAAAGAGTGCCCAGATGCGGGGCTGCCACCGTCTCCAGAAGCCCCCAGACCTGCCATCTGGGGAGTCACTAAGTGCTAGGCGTTTTGTCATCTCCAGTTCATCTTCACCATCACCAGAGTCTCCGGTGCCATCTATGTCTCCGTCCTCAGCACTGCTATCCAGGGGAGCCCCACCAAAGCTGTCCAGAGCCTCTTCGGCGTCGCGGTGCTGCCGGTAGGTCATCCAGCAGCAGGGCTCCACATCGGTCTCATCGATGCCCCAGAAGGCCAGCTCCTCCTCATACAGGGGCCCGCACACGTCCGCGGGGCAGTGCAGCTTGCCGGTGCGGTAATAATTCAGGATGTGGGCGAAGACGCCCGGGTGCCGGTCAAAGAAAAACTCATCCGTGCGGGGGTCATAGTCAAAGTGGCTGTGGGCATCGGGCTCAGCGATCCAGGCCAGCCGCGTGCCGGGCAGGGTGCGCAGGGTGCTGCGGTAAGTCTGGTGCCTAGTCCCTCCCACGTTGATCACAATGCGGTCGCTCTCGTCGCCCTGGCCCATCTCGTCTCTTATTAGGCATGTCGCAGACTCATCCAAGCAAGCACGGCAGGCAGCAAGCCCGTCAGGGGACGGCTGCTCGGCGGCAGTCGGTGCCTAAGCCGAGCCCCGCTCCGGGCCCGCGGGGGCGAGGGGCCCCGGCCAGCCCCGCTCCCCCGGGGCCGCTCCGAGGCGATGCCGGTGGCGGTGGCTCCCGGCGCTGCGCCGCCTCCGTCTGGAGTCAGACGCTCGGGGTCCGCGGCAGCTGCAGCCGCGGCGGAGGGGCAGGGGCAGGGGGGGCCATGCTCCGGGAGCGCGGGCGCTGCGGTGCCGGAGGGGGAGGGCCTTTCCCTGGTTGGATGTGGCCAAAAGCACAAGGGAGGAAAAAAAAAAAAAAAAAAGAAAAAAAAAAAAAAAGAGGGAGAAAAAAAAAAAAAAAAAAGGAAAAAAGAAAGGGGGGGGGGGGAGAGAAAAATCACGGCACCCGCGCTGCCCACAGGTGCGCGGAGCTGCGGGGCGCCGGTGCTGGCTGCAGCCCCCGCAGGGAACGCGGGGCTGTGCCCGCGCCCCTCCCGGCGGTGCGGTTGGGGGGCGCCGCCGGTGCTGAAGGGACAGCGCCGCGCTCCCGCCGCCTCCGCCCCTGCGCCCGGCCGGCCCGGGTCGAGCGCTTGCCGGTGCGGGCGGCGGGACCCGCGGCGCTGCCGCTCGCTGCTCCTCCCGCCGCTCCTCCCGCCGCCGCCGCGCCGCTCGGTGCAGCCCGCCCGCCGCCGGGCACCGCCGCGCAGGCGCCGCTCCCGCCCGGGTCCTGGCGCGGGCCGCGCCCGCCGCCGCGCCGCGCCCGGGGCGCCGCTCCGGGACCCGGGGCCGCGGGCAGAGCCCCCGCCCGCTCACCTTCCCGCGGCCCCGCGGCGGTCACACCGAGCGTCCCCTGACCCTCTCGGGCACCATTGGCATGAGTCACGGCTGTGCTCGTCCTGCCTGCGCCGGACCGGCTGAAGGGCAGGATTCAAGATCTCCCCAGGGGTACCCAGGGTTGTCCCTTCCAATCACGTTGTGCTTTTACTTGGTTCCACACACCTACACCATTTCTTCGTCTTTTCCTACTGTTCACTAGGTTGTTTTTCCTAACGCCTGTGTTGGTAGGACGTTGCAATTTGGGTTTGTGTTTTTTATTCTTTTTTTTATGCTCACCAAATCACAAATAATGGTAAGGGAAGTTTCAAAAACCCCCCAGTTCCTGTCTTGCAAGGAGCTTGAAGAACAGCCAGAAGATGGTTGTGTGGAAAGGAAGTAAGAGAGGTATGTAGAAGTGTTTTGTATTTTATTTTATTTGCTGCCATCGTCTTAGAAGGAATGGACTTATGGGAAATCCTGGAGAGGTGAGCTTTTGTGGATTGAGCATGGGAGGTCATGTCATGATGAACGGGATAGGCTGGTGAAACATACAATTGAAAGGTACCTGGTTAGGGAATGCTGATGGAATGTACAAGTGGTACGGACAGCACAACGCTGAATGGAAGAGGGCAGACCAGGGGAATGCAATTGGGCTGAACTTGCAAGTAGGAGAGAAATTCAGATGTGTGGCAACAGCAGGTGAAGAACAAGTGGAAGGCTGTCAAGGAGCAATCGGTGTGCTCAGGTTTGTAAGATGAGGTGTTTGGTCGCCTGCAGCTTCCATGCAAAGAGTGTTGCATGGTTGGAATGCGGAGAAGAAAACTTTGCAGTAGCTGTGGTGAGACATTCCAAAGAGGTCTAACCAGCAGATTTATCTGTGAAAATGGTAACAGACTTTAAGCTGGTGCTAAAAGGAAGGCCTGGAACCTGGTGCTATTTGTATGTGACTCTTGGAAATAGGGAGGGAAGACAGCAAGAATGGGAGTATGTTACTCGTATCAGCTATGAATGAGAAATGGGAAAGTGAAGCTAAATCAAGGCAACTCTGCACTTCAGCTAGCATAAACTGATGAAAAAATCTCCAGGAAGAGATGCCAGACAGCAGCTTCAGCACTGGGACTGAACAGAGGCAGAAAGGTTGATGACAGAGGGAGAATCTGAGAATCACAAGTACAGAAACACTATCTAAAATCCTTGAGAATTGCCAGCCAGAGGACACAGAGGGAAAAGAGGGCTGTGAACCCAAGCCTGGCATTAAGAAAGGAAAAGAGGATGTTGACTCACTGACAGTAATAAAACATGTGAAAATTTCTTTAAATCATAGTAAACGCCTGTTTTTGATAATAATGGATCTGGGGACCAATGGGAAAGAACTGTAGGGTAGGTTCCGAGAGTTAATGAAGGCTGTGGAGAGCAGGTGACTCAGGAAGATGTTAAGAGCCTGTGAATCCTGGGCTTGTGGGTCCTTCTGGTCACAGCCACAACTATAAAGACTCTTTCCCAGCTCATTAGCTCCTGCCTTCCATGTTGCCTTTCCTGCAGTGAGTGATTCCTCTTTAGGAATTTCAGTGTTGGGATCTAAGGTGACTGTGGGAATGAGACATTGTGCAGCTTCACTTGCTTGGGCTTCCCCTCTTGTCTGGGGAACTGAAGGAGAGTGGTGCATGACCTCCTCATCTGGGAGTACGTGTTAAAAGCTAGAAAGCTTGATTAAAGAGAATGTTCATGGACTCAGGTGGGGAGGCCATGCTTAAGTGACCTGCAAGGTTTCTTTGAAGTTACTAAAGCTGTAATTGATGAAGCAGCCTTGGTAGAAACAGAAGAGTTAGATGTTTCAAAAGACATGAAGGAGGGCCCCATATCAGAGACTGATGGGCAAGCAAGAGCTTGTGAGATCTGGAGCAAGGTAGCTACTGAAATAGTAGGTCTTTCAGAAATATAAATTGGAATGTAAGTTTAGACATCATTTTCATGTAGAAAATGAAAGACAATGTCATGTTTGAAGTTTATATTGAAGCTTGGGAGGGAAAGTGTTCGAAAATAATATCTTTATTTAACAGGGGTCATGGCACAAAATAACTGCATATTAAGGCACAAGGAGTTTGCTTTGCATGGTAGACTGCAGCATGATTTGCATTTGTTTGATTAGCCATAGTTAATAACACCACATAAATGGCTGTTGGTTTGCATGGAATGGAAGGTTTAAGACAGTTTAGCAGCTGCTGTGTCTGAGCAGAGTTTTGCTTAAAGTTTGCCATATAGCAATATGAAATTCTAGTTTAATTTTAAAAAGTATTTTTTCATATTTAGAAATGTTTGGATTATGATAGACAAATAAAATAATCTAATTTTCCTAGTTCCTACTTGCAGACAAAACTTCCTATGGAATTATGATTAATCCCAAACTTGACAGTAGCACTCCTGTCCTCTTAGTCCCATAAAAAAATAAGAATATTATAACTGGATTTTATTCTAGTTTATGTTTGACATCTTTAAATCCTTAAACATCTGGTTTATATTTGATATCTTTAAGGAGGGTTTTATATGAAGGTGAATGTGTGAGTGTGTGAGTCTCCAAGTTGTCTAGCTTTTCTGTGATTCAACTTGTCATTTTAAGTGTACTTATTAATTAATTTTAGTAAGTTTTGCACATTAAAAAGAACTAAACCAGCATTAATACTGCTGGGAAACCTCTGTAGGAAGTACAGAGTTGGTAGGTTATCCAAACAGTTCACAATCTGTTTGGAAAAGGATTATGGTATAGCAGCAGCAGCAGCTGCAGATGGTGTTACCAGAAAAATTTTAAATGCATTAAAAGCCGTTCACCTTGGAAATACATTTTTTTCCCTGAACTGATTCTAATAACTAGTGAGAGATTTTGATGATCATCTACACTGAGCTGGGGTTGACCAAAATCTGGCATAAGTGAGGAAAATAAGCTGTAGAGTTTAGGAAAGTCTCTGTGAAGGTCTCTTTTGTGGCATGCCTAGTCAGGACAGTATATGTGCACTTTGAGCAGTCCTGTTGGTCTATCTATAATTTTAACTGTTCTTCTAACTCAGAAGTTTTAGTGGCAATAGTGGAAGAATAGCTTTTAGCCATAGATGTATTTTAGTTTCAAATCTGGTGTTAGGTTGCCTCACTGTTCTGATGACACAGGAAGAGCAAGTCCTTCTTTCCCCTCTGTATCTGGTGTACTGGGATCACCTTTGTGCCCTATACTTCAGCATCCTCAGGGGAATCATATACAAGAAAAGGTAGGTTGTCTTTCAGATAGAAGTCTAAATTCTGTCTACAAACTAAAAAAAAAAAAGTAGTGGGTTCACATGCTATTCTTTTTTTCATCACCCTGCTCTCTACTTCTTTAGCTGAGAACTGCAGTGAATTCTGACTCCAAAGGAGCTTTCTTCTCAATGTGGGAGATGACTGAGCATGTATTCCCTAACTCTTCTAAACTTAGTAACTCATTAATTTGAAGTGAAAGTTTAGCCTTTTTCTAAAATTTTATTTAATTATATTCATTATTGTATGAAGATATTTTGCCTCTTGCCGAAGACTCTGGATTGACAGATCCCAATCCCAGGGTTGTATAGGCACAGAAATGTACATCAGGAGGCTTTGCTGTATGCTTTGGTGCTCTATTAGTGTATCAAGAGTACTTGATTCTGCACTCCTCTGTAGCCTCTTCTTTCACTGGGTTTTCTAGTGAGGACCCCAACAATGGTGACTGCTGAAGAAGCTCCCACCCCTGAAATGTAAGCCTAGCTCTGACTTCATCACTCAGTTTCTCTTCAAAGAAAAAGAATGACCCATTGTAACAATATGAGGAAGAAAATGAGATGTTGAGAGAACCTGTGGCTTTGTGCACAATTATGAATAAAACTGGAGAGTACATTCAAAATGTTTTAAGGCTGGAGGAGGCTGAGAGAATTATTTGTAAGTTATAACCTCAAAAGAAAAGGCAGGCAGAGTTGCAAGACCAGTTTTGCAACACTTGAATGCTATAATTCAGCCTGTGCTGTTTTGTATTAAATTCACGACAACTCAACAGTATTTCAGTGCAGTTCTTTATCAGTTTTAGATTACATCATGCTGTGAATTGCTCTGTTAGCACTGACCCTTGTAAATCATTTGGTTTGAGGTCTTCAAATGGAAAGCTGTGGTGGACTTAGCATGCAATGTACTCATTTTGTCCTTGAAAATAATTTAAAAATAAAGCAGCTGCAATAACATAGATGTTATTAGTTTTCTGAAAGGCTAGATTTACCCCTCTGAATTGTCATTAATTGGATGAAAGCCTTTCATAGAAAGAATGAGAATGGAGAAAAAAATTGTGGGTTCATGCTTGCTGTTGACTGAGGGAGTCATAGAGATGCTGCATGTCTGAAGAGATGTGTAGCCCAAAGCCTGATGCAATTCTTTGCATGTCACGATGCTTTTAATGAGAGTAACCAAAGCAGCAGAAGTTATAGCTAAATGCTTGTTCCTGCACTGTTATAGCTGGATTTTTTTTTTATTCTTAATTACTTCAGTTTTGCTTGACTACGTACTTAATTCCCATCTATGTTTTCCAACCACTGCATGGCTTTGTTTGAGCTGGGAAGAATTTGCTGTACTCTGCCTGATGAGTTGCACTTGTTCATCCATTTCTACTGGACTGACATTTCTGAGTGAAAGTTCTTTTTGTTTTGCAAATTCTTTTGGGATCCTTCAGAAAGTGGGCATCAAACTGTGAGATAAATGGAAGCTGCTCTGGAAAAAAAATGGAAGCAATATTGTGACATGTTAGAGATCATCTTTGGTCTTTACCCACTCTGTTAACTAAGAGAAACTCCCACCTGAATCCATTTGGTTTTGCTGAAAATTGATGGGAGATGGAGCTGAGCAGATACAATTAATGGAGATGGTGCCCACAAGTAAGGCGAGGTGGTGTTCTGCTGCTTGCTGAAGGACTAGGGAGATTTCCAAACTGTTTTACCTGTAGGGAAGAGAAGACTGCACCTTCCTGGCAAAAAGGGCAATAAGCACTGCAAAAAACTGCTGAGTTGTCTGTCTCACCCCCAGCTCCTTAAATCTGGAGTGGAGCTGGTCTGGGTGAGGCACTGAGCTTCTTTTGGAGCACATCCTCGAGTCAAGGCTGTAGTAAAAGTGTCAGGTTTTGTCTTTGATGAGACATTCCCCAAAACAGAAGTAGTTGCTCCTCAAGAAATCATGGAGCTAAATCATAGCAAAATCTACTTCAAGTATCCAAAATTAGGCATACAGCTAATGCGCTACTTTGTTCCAATGCTGTGTTATGGAAGGATCTAGATTTGTCCCTTGTCTTCTTCATGCTGATCTAGGTGTGATCCAGCAAAAATCCAGCTGGTGATGAGGAAAATTGAGCTTACAATTGGAAGTTTCCTGTCAGCACATGACAAAAAAACCCTTATCTAAACTCATTACTATGAGCTGAGCTCAGTCATCCTGAGGGCTCTGAATCTGCATTGCCAAAAGAGGGCACATAGGTTAGAACCATTTAATTCCTACCATCTACTACAGCTAGAATTTCAGAAAAGGCCAGGGACTTGGCTTTATTTTATTAGTTGATTTGTTTTGGGGGTCCTAAAAGGTCCTTGACTTTCTCAGACTGGCCTAGTCAGCCTTTTCTGAAAACAAAACTCTACTAATGCTGTCATTATGTTTTTAAGATCTCAGCCAATTTGCAGGTGCATGAACATAGCAACAGACACAAACACATAGATACAGACATATGTATTTCACAACTACTATATACAGAATACAGAACAGGAGGTGCTAGTCTTTTCTTGAAAAAGGCATGCAGCTCTCAGTGCTGCAAGTGTATCTTTTTCATTTAACCACCAAAAAACCAGAAAAAAATAGGGTCTATTTCTGACCAAGGAGTATGAAATATGTTCCATTTTATAAAATGTATATGCTTGCCTATCAGTTGACTATTTCTCTAATACAACAAAATAATTAGAACATTTCTTAACTTTTTTTTGCTGAAATGAGAACTTTATTGAATAATTCACTTTTCACAGCTGTTATTACTTCTTCAGCCTACTCTGAGTAACTGAAATGTCCTCAGACAGATGCGAAAATGGCCTGTCTTTATTGTTACAAATGATTTGTAAAACTTTAGGTGTTGAAAGGTAAGAGTAGTTTAAATAAATCTCAAGAATGCTGACTCAAAGGTTTAATGCATTGCTTAAATCCCTTGATTAACCCAGCTTCTCAATATTTGACATGAATCAATAACTCTGAGATGTCTTTTTTGTTCTCTATTTTGTAAATATTTACACAGCCAGTCCCATGAAATATGACATTTAATCCTGTTGAAGTAATTATTTGAATGCTACATATGAAGAGATACAAAGTATAATAGTTCCAGTGATGCTAGTTAAATAATTGGCACTAAGGATGAAGTCTGCTGCATTTCTTTTGTCAAGAGCCAGGATTTATACAATATAAATGTGAGTAAATGGAAAGCAAAATCCATTTTCTGTCCCAAATCTTGGACCAGCTGCTGGGAATGCAGGTTTCTTTATCCTGTCTCTTGCCTGGGCCTATGCCTTAGCTTTAACAGCAGCCTTTTGTTCCAGTTAAATGAAGTGTTGAGAGCTAGAAGAAAGGCAATAGGGAAGGGATGGCACCTCTCTTAGTTTGTCCTCTGCCTTTCCCTTCTGGGACATGCTATAATGAATGGTTTCTCCACTTCAGGAAGCAGGAACATGCTCTATCCAGAGTTTCCAGGACCTGGGGAAGACTTCTGTAAAAATCCCAGTGCAATAGGATTATACCAGCCCTCCAGACTGTGGCTGGAAATCCTGGTAAGATTTGCATCAGGTTTGTATTTAAATTATTTCACTTGAGGCACAGTGATATGGTTGTTCCTATGACACTGCACTTTTAGTCTTTGTTTACTGATTCAGCCTGATTCATCTGTGGGTTCTGCCAGGTTTTGCAGTTGTAGTCTTTGCCTCTAGGTAGCCCAGTGGTAGAAGGAGTTGGGAAATAATGAGGAAGCAGAGAAGAATCACAGTGGGACAAGATATTCAGAGTTGGCCTGCAAGAAATCAGAGTTGGGTCTTCCTTAAGAAATGCTCCATTCTCATACAAAATTGGACCTTTCTGCTCTTCTATGATGGATTCTCATCCTAAGAGGGCCTACAATAGCATGCTTATTGGTTTTCCTATGGAGCAATGAGAAAAAAAGGAGGGTCCAGCTCTTAAATCTATAATAGAGACATTTTTTTTCTTTAAAAATTTTCCAACTGTAATAGAAAATACAATAGATTTCTACAGGTTCTTCTGAAATTGTTCTCCAGCTTATCCTGCCTGTTAAAAAGTGGAGAAAATGGTGTTTTGTATGGTAGCAATTCAGGAGGTGGGCAGAGATGTTTCTTAATTGCTTTATCAAGCCAAGCACCTTCAGAAGCCTTCATTATACAGAAAGGTCTCCATGCAGAAGTGCTCAAGTGCTGCTGTGCCCAGTTTGACCACGGCCTAATCCAAGCAGACACATGCATGCTGCAAAGGACAGTGCACCACAGAAAAGGTGATGGGGCAAGTCAGTGAAATTACTCTCAGTTTTCCTGAGCTTATGCTTGTAAAGCCCTTAGGAGGTATTTTAATCAATATAACCACAAATATGTATAATTCTGGCCAGATCAAAATCCATATGATTGCATTTGTGTTACTAATGGAATCTTGTTCAACTATGTTTCCATATTCTGTTGTATTGCTTCTCTTATTGATTATTTCTCCCCTCTGAACCCTAGGCTGAATAGGATCTGCAGAACACTGTTTATACTTAGGGATGTACTTTCAGGTACTTTGGGACTGAAAAAAAAAAAAAGATCTTCTGAGCAGAAGTTTGCATTTTCAGGTACACTTGAAAGTTTTGAATGCCCAAGAGATTAGAGAGGATTTGGTCCAGTTGAAAATCAGGCTAGAGAAAATATATCAAAGCATAAATTAAAACTTTCAAAGATAAAAATATAAAACTAATCATCTTGGTTAAGAAAAAATAAAATCTTTTGCTTAGTCTGGCCAATTAATGTTAATGTGTAGATATCAAGTTAACAAGTACATTAAATAGCAATGGGACAAATTAAGAGAGGAGCCTTAATGTGCACAGACATTTGCTCAGTCAACCAAAGTTCCTAAAGGCTCAGCTGCAAGTCTGGAAACATAACCACTGATGTCTAAAATAGAATTTTTTTTTCCCTCCCTCTCCATTTTGTGTTTTACCACAGAACCAAACAAAAAAAGGCTGCAGGTAATGATCATGGAGTGCTTGAAGGGCATCTGTCTGCCCTCATCACAAAGTGAATGTATGCCAGACGCTTTTAGCTGCAAAACATACATGCAGGAATCACTGTGTAATTCAGCTGTGAGGAGTAAGTGATCTGATCAATCTTTTCTGTATCTCTTGCTCACAATAATTATTTGTATTTAAAAGAAGGAATAATGTTTTGGCACCCACATTTGAGGAATAGTTGGTTTGGGGTTTATTTTTCCCCTTAGGTGCAGAGCGGAACTCAGAATTCTTATGGCAAAAAGAGGCCAGAGAGCAGATGAGGTGAGATGACAGATTGGGGTAAAACATGAGCAGCCAGCTCACAACAAGCAAGTTCATTGCGTGACAATCTTCCTGCTCTTCCCTGGGGAGTGAGCAGAATGGTTCAAGAAGGAGCAGATGGAAACAGCTGCCAACAGATGAGTACTGGAATGGATTCAAGCCACCCTGCTTGCTGGAACTTGAGAGTTTTTGATGGCCTGAGCTTTCCCAACCACAGGTATCTAAAATTTGGGACCAGGCAGCTGTCTGTCATTTCGTATTTATGAGGACCAGAAGAAAACTCCATTGTTGTCTATGGTGTGGGGAATCTTTTAAGCTGTTGTTGCAGATGGTACTAAAGATAAAAGAGCCCTACTAAGATATTTTTCATGAATGTGTCTATCTCATAGTCCATTCACTCAAAATGGTTTTTCTCTTGACCTTGAGCTGAGATTTAACAGGTGGGTAAAAGATAAATTTAGGAAGGCCAGTGACACAATGCTGACACTTTTATGTCTTCCTACATAATTTCAGGCGTGCCATAAAGAATACTAAATGGCAAAAACTAAAGTGTCCTTGGCAAACAAACAGACAGAATAGCACCCTGTGATATTTTTACCTTTGTTTCCCCTTACCTCACACAGTTTTTACTCCCACAGAGCTTGAAATATTAACCCAGCATGTTAATTTATTTCTTCCAGAGTTGCCCTGACCATTGCATTTAACGTCTCTCTTGGAAGTACTTCAAACCAAGTGGCTGGCTCCATCTCTAGCTTTGTTAATTAGGCACATTACTTTGTTGCTTTTTTTTCTTATCGCTTAATGTAATTGGTATTTGTGAAGCTTTTGAAAAGCGTGTTTGGGACTACATTTTGTGCAGCTGGCTTTCAACTGCAAGCTGTTTCAAGTGTGTAGTTCTGCAGAGGACAGCCTTTGAGAGTGTAGAGCATGAGTGCCTAGCACATACCACGCTTACTTTCCAAAGGGAACAAAGGGATGTAAGTGTGACCTGTCCCATACAAAGGAACACGTGTGACACATGAACCCCCTTGCATCCATTTGTATTTCTATGGCATTAAATCTGTAATGAGAGTATTACGTGCCTGGATGAAGAATGGGTCTCCCTTGACAAGCTGTTGTATAAATGCTTTGCTCTGTGATGCTCTTCATCCCAAACTTTAGTCCAGATATCAGGATGCCTTGCCATATAGACACAAAAGCCTGTAGCTTTTCCATGAAAATGCATATTTGAGCATCTAAATTCAAACCATGAGCTTGTACTTGCTGTAATAATCCCAACAGCTAAGGGTACCAATATACTGTGTCAACTGCCAGCAAGACTGATGAATTTACACTGAGTAGAAATTCGGCTCATTGATTTCAGTTGTTGTGGTATGGAATGATACTCTCTACCTGAGCTGAGAGAGTTAGATGTGAGGGGGGGGAAAAAAAGGAATGTATGGTACATTAAAAAAAAAAAAAAAAAAAAAAAAAAAAAAAAAAAAAAAAAAAAAAAAAAAAAAAAAAAGGATGTCTAAGTCTTGTTTTACATGGAAATGCTGCCCTCCGGTGGCTTGGAGAAAAGCCTACACGCTGCTTGTTCAGTAGTGTACTTTCACGCTGCAGCAAGCAGCAGCTCTCAAATGTGGATTGTCTAGGTTCCTGCCTCAGGAAACTCACGGGTGCCATAAAAGCAAGTAAAAAAATTAAGAACAAAAAATTTATTGCTTCATTTGGTTTAGGATTCAGAAGCAGAGCATTGATGTGAAATAAAGGAATGTTGTGTGGCCAAAGTATAAAGGGAATCATAGAATGGTTGTGGTTGGAAAGGACCTTAAAGATCATCTCGTTCCAACCCCTCTGCTATGGAAAGGGACACCTCTTACTAGATCAGGTTGCTCAGAGCTCCATGCAGCCTGGCCTTGAACACTGCCAGGGATGGAACACCCACAATTTCCCTGGGCAATCTCTTCCAATGCCTCACCACCCTCACAGTAAAGAATTTCTTCCTAATAGCTAATCTAAACCTACTCTTTTTCATTTTGAAGCCATTCTCCTTTGTCCTATAACAACATGGTCTTTTAAATAGCCTCTTTTCATCTTTCTTGTATTTTCCCTTCATGTACTTGAAGGTCACCCTGAAGCTATCTCTTTTCCAGGCTAAACACACCCAACTCTCTCAGCCTTTCCTTATAGGAGAGGTGCTTCATCCCTCTGATCATCTTGATGGCCTCCTCTGGACTTCCTCCAACAGGTCAATATCCCTTCTGTGCTGAGGAGGCCTTGAGCTGGAGGCACAGCTCCAGGTGGGATCACACTAGAGCCAAAGTAGAGAGGAAAATCACCTCCCTTGGTCCAGTGGCCAAGATTTGCGCCCTACTGAGGGACTTTGTCACCAGACAATGTCATTGTGATCCTGCTGTCATCTGCAGTTCCTCTGATCTTCCTCACCTGCCTTCTTGGCAAGCAGCCTGTCTGCCTCAGGACCACTGCTCTCAGCACAGGCCATACAATGCATCCAAACACCTTCCATTTTCTTCCTACTTTTGTCTTTATTTTTCACTTAAAGAAAATCAGAGTGGTGCCCCAAAATTTGTCTAGCAGTAAAAAAGCCAAAACCCAACCATTATTCTTATTATTCTTACATTATTAATATTATTCTTACAATTTTTTTCTCTGTTTCTGTAGGAGGTTCTTGGTAGGGAAGGAACTGGTATTTCCAATATATTTTTCTTGATGTTCCTAGTGTATGGGCCTCCAGGTGCTGTCTGAAGACTGTGAATATTTTTGCTGTTTCTGCATCAACAAACCTTACATTATGGAAAGATGATAAAACAGAACATGGAGTTCACCAAGCGATGATTTCAGGAAGAAATGTAGTTAAATTTTTTCCCAGCAGATGTGGCTGTTGGACCAGAAAAGGCTCAAGGTCAGTTCTGGTGGGTTAGGGAGAACTGTGGAGATTGGGGCACCCCTTTTACTGCCATGGATATGCAGCACTAGGTGATAGCTGTGCTGAGACTCCCAAAAAAAACCAAAAACAAAAACAAAAAAAAACCCACAAAAAACCAAACGACATTCCAATGAAAATTGCAACCTCCCTTAATCATGTGATTAAGTGGTTATTGTCTGTTAGAGTTTTTAGTAAGTTTTTAATAAGTAGTTACAGTATTTGCCTTGCTATTGATAAATGTGAGGTTATACATTGAGTATTACATAAAATAGCACACTTGTTGATGTTGCTAATATGCCTGTAGATGATTAAAAGTTATTAGTATTGTAGAAACAAAAAGTGAGTTCTGTGCCATGTTGACTGTATTATTGGGAAACCCCTGAGGTTTTCCATCACCCCATGGTTACAGGATAGATCAGTTTTCACCATTAGCTTACAATGTTAAGGGTTTTATTCAGAAGTGGCTGTGTATGCAAAACATAGGTTTCTGGGTCCACAGGGAAATTTCTGGATTCCTCGTAGTTCTGTCAGACATGTTCCTCATTCCTGCTGGGTCTTGTGAGGGAAAAGACTATCTGATAGCTCTTCTCTACTGTGCTAGGGACCATCCCCTCCCTCATTAGCCCTGAAATGTCAAAAATGGAAGGGTCTCCACTTAATGACATTCCCAGTTGTGCAACAAGCCTGTGGAGAAGGGAGCATGCCGCATCCATCAAGGAGAGGAGGTTATGGCTGTTCAACAGTTTTACAAGAAAACCAGTGATTTGAAAGGCTGAGGGAGGGTGAGCTGATAGTAAATAGCGCTTGATGAGGCACTTGGATGTGCCTCCCAAGATGATCTTCAGGTTGTGCTGTCAGAGATTTGCACTCTGACTCTGCACAGGCCTTTTTACCTACTGCCTGTGAAGCCAAGATTGCCACACGCAAGTTGTGTGAAATGACCTTCATGCCATCTCCTGCTATCGCAGGCTCTGTGTCAGCCACTCATTGAGGAGCTGTTGTAGGCTTTCAGCACTATTGTGGGGGCAGTTTCTGGATGGTACTTTCAAGATCAGGTGAGCAATAAAGCCTGGCAGCTTGTTCAGAGGGTTGTGCTCAGGGGGATGGGCACATCTGAAAGCGTTGTGACAGAAATGGGTCAGTGACCAGAGCACGAGCAGAGGGTCACAGCAGGGAGTTTGTCCTGGCTTTGCACTGCTGCATGAACACTATCCCAGACAGTGTTGTGTGCAGTAGTCTGAAAATATTCCTACTGAAGCTGGAAATATTTCTACTGATTTCAAGGAAATTTTTAAACAAAAATGGAATATTAATTAATCCATTCATTAACATTCATGAGGTATGAGGTAAAAAAGTTTCCTTGTCTCTTTTGGATGTAATTCTTCTGAAGATGGCAGTTTTGGACCTTTGCACACTTTGAACCTTTCAATTATCTCTGCACAATATAAGATGTAAAATGAAAACTGCTTTTCTGTCCACTTCCAAGGGGTTTTTTTAAGGTCTTTATCTTGAGTTGAAAATGACAAGTCATTTTAGAAGAGCAGCATCTGGTGTGAAGCAACTGCCAATTTAATATTTCTTTAATATATTTGGATACAGATAATAAAATCTTTTTAAAGGGAAAACATTTACCAAGAATAGCTCATATATCTTTTACCTAAAATTGAATGTTCACTATGTGAAATACTTCTGTAGCAGTATTGCTATGATAATACAGGAAATGGTGTTTAACATTGTTAACATAAAATTTGCAATTTTATTGCACTTTGTTGTGGAACATTGAAAGTAGGAAAAAGATCCTCTTCATTCTCATACTGGCAAATGATCTGATGAAATGTAAAATCAGAGCACTTTTCGCATGTAAGTGAAGTATAAATTTATTCCTCTTCACTTTTTCCATAGCAGTGGTTTGAGTGAGATAAATCAGTAATGCTGGGTTTGTCAAGCAGCACTTTCTTAAGTTACCAAATCAAATCAAACATTCTTAAAATGTGCAGTTATCATTATGTTTGAAGACAGCTACTTTCCTTTATTTGTTTGTATCTGTATGCCTTTGCCTTTGGAGGCAGTGTTCCTCAGGAAACATCATGTTGAACCTGTGTGATATAAACTTTCAGACTAGCAGTGTGTGTTCAGAGCCTATGCTGGAGTGTTTCTGTAGACCAAGGTAGGCGGCACTTTGTCTTGTAGGATCAACCCTAAATACCTAAACTCATTTTCAAGAACCCAGTTTAAGAACCAAATGTTGGATCAGTCTTGCATATGCTCCTTGACTGTGTCAGAACTAAACTAAAACTCTGAATCCAAATATTACTATATATTTACTATATAAATATTTACATATTTGATATAAGTATTTACAAATATTACTATATATTACTAAAATATTTACTTATAGACTGGGCTATATTTCTATCAGTTACATGCTGTTCTCTTGATGCACAGGGCTTTGTTTTAAATATATTTTTTACCATAGAAATAAACAGGAAGAAATGGCACAGGGGAACAATTTTCCTTATCTAAGTAAAAGAAATAAATATATTTGTAACCTAAACATGTATTTACCAGTGCTGATGCCCTTTGGCCTTAGTCCAGTGAACTTTTCTCACTGACATCAATGGGAGAAAGAGGGCCTCTGCATAGGAAACCTATGAATATTTTTTCTTCATCATCCATCCATCTATTTTAGGATGTGCTAAATGCCTGTTCTCTGTTGTAACATTAACATCAGTATGTGGAAACTCGGGGGCTAAAATAAATCAGTGAAATGCAATATACATGACTTCACATGGAACTGTATGTACATTGTTGAGCACAAGTGCCCTGTGCCCACTCTGCCATGCCAGCCCTACAACCAGGTACCCCCCCATTGTGTCCCTCAGAAGTGGGGTGCAAGCAAGGCAGGCATGAACTCTGTGCTGCCAGCATGTCCAGAGCCTCTGTTATTCCTGAGCTGCCAAAATACTTTTTGGTTGCCATTTAATGGCAGTAAAATTGTTACTTTTACTTTTATGGGGATTAAAAGATATTATTTCACAAAAGCATTATTTTGGCTCTTTTGCATTGTGGACCTGATTGTTTGCTGAAGGCAATGCAAATTATATTGATGATGTGTGATGTGCTGATTTGTGAGGCAACTGTCTCTGCTTAGCTTTTATAAGGGATACAGACTTCCAACTAACCTGGGCCATTTTTCCAATCTTAGTAGGGACCCTCCTGATTTATGACAGTATGAATTATCACATTCTCAAATTAGTTTGATTTTTATTTTTAATGGAAAAATGAAAGGGGTAAGCTCAGTCTTTACAGGCTGGAGTGTTTTCTGCCCACAGTGCATCAATGGGAGACCTTTACAAAGTTGGACTTTGATGAAGATGCTGAGTGGGCAGTCCTGCCTCAGAGTCTCCTCTGATCCATGGGAGCCTGGGCTGCTCCACAGAATGGTCCTGTGCCTTGGCACTGATTTATCATCCACCATGACCCCAAGCTCACGGATGAGGAAGGAATACCCATGGCTGCTACCATCCCTGCCCCTCTGGCTTCAGGTAAGTCACCAAGCTTGGAGCATGACTGCCCCAGGAAGAAGGAGAAGCAACTGCATTGTTCTGCTCAACACATGGCAGCTTGCTCCTCTCCTCTCCACAGAACATTGATCTTCAAGGCCATACGTGATAAAAGGAGTGGGAGATATTCCCTGGAATTAGCTGTTCCCTTTTTCTTTTTTCTGATTAAGGTAAGAGCTGCACAAACTCCCTCTTTAAGAATCACCTAACAGAGAATACAATGACTAGTCTGTCATCGAAGTATTTAGGGATGATGACGATACCTAGATTGGTTTTCAGTGTGTTTTTTGTTTTTATTTTACTGTGATGTTTCTACAAAATCTATAAAGCATAGGGATGTGATAAGAAACAGTTTGTAGTTGCTGGTTATTCTTGTCCAGATGCACAGAAATGCCCTGATTGTTTCTTTCCAATGACAACCAGCTCAGGGCTTAACATTTTTCAGTTGCACAGCCAACTTTCAAGGTTACACATAGATACTGAATGAAACAGAGCCCACTGGTTATTTTTAGAGAGGCTCTAAACAAGAAGCAAATCCCTGGAGCAGTGCTGCCAGAGATGCATAAAGTTCAAATCCAAATTAAAACTGCCTATCTTTGGCCTACATTCCAACTTGAACTTGAGGAAAACTGTGATCTCTAATTTGAACTTTATGACAAAAACTCCTTTGCAATTAGTTTCTAATACCTGGGAATACATGAACTTGGTATCAACACTCGAAAAATAGAACTTGAATGAAAAATGTGAACACTTGTCCAAAAATGTAGTACATTTTCGTGAGTTTTGTATGGTTTCAGTAGCTGCACTGGAATTTGGAGAGTCTAATTTTTTTGTGGTTCTTAGTTTCAACACATCTTTGTAAGATCAAGTCCTACAATATAATTGTAAATTTTGAGGGCAGGAGGAGAAACATGCTTATTTATTGATTCCTCTAATAATGACTTGTGATGTTTAGGTTTAGCAGTGACCACAACAGAATATGAGGAAAGGAGACCCTTTGACAGCAGCATATTTATGCAAAGTAGTGCAACTGAAGCATGTTCTTGGTTTCTTTGCTGAATCAGAGCCTGTATCTTCTTCCTGCCAAGGCAGAGATCTAATACCACTCCTAAATGCACTAGTAATTCTAGAAGCCCTAACGAAAGTCAAGATAACACCACAGATTTTATAAATAAGGGTCTTTATTTAGAATACTGTTGAAAACATTCTTGGCAACCACATCGTATAAATATATAAAGTTAAAGTTTGACACAACAAACCAAGCAATATTAAATATTTTTTAAATTTTTCCCCTTTTTAAATTTTTGGCTTTTTTTTTTAAAATTTATTTATTTTACTATTTTTTAGGTTTTTTTCTTTTTTTTTTTTTTTTTTTTTTTTTTTTTTTTTTTTTTTTTTTTTTTTTTTTTTTTTTTTTTTTTTTTGGAAAGCAACTCTTATTTACAATTATACAAAAGTTTTATAAAAAATGGTCCACAACCTTATTTTGGCCAGAACAGGAGTAATAGGAAGGATCTGTCATGCCACTACTGCTGTAGATTTCTATTTTCCTCCACATTCAAGAGCCAGCTTCCTATTCCCCACAGCCCAGATTAAGTATTGGCCATTTCATGGTATACAATTTTATCTCTAGATGTATTAAATAACTTTAGTTTAACAACCAATAAATAACTATGTGTACTTTGAAGTGATATAGGTTTGCAAAGTTAGATAGTTGAAGGAATTTTCAGTGATATTTTAGAATTGGAACAAGTCTTAAGAAGTCTTTTCAACCTTAGAAGGCAGGTCTTGAGCAAGGCCAAACGGAGCAAATTGTTTTTGGTGCAGTCCAGCTGGAGGGCTCCTTATAGCACTTGGTAGATGGGGTTGCTGCTGCTGTTATCCTGGGGGAGTGGGGTGCAGTTGGTGGGGGAAGGAATTTGGGCTCCACCATCACTCAGGCTCACTCCTTCTGGAGGGGAACAGGGACTCCCTTCAGCAACAGTTTCCACCGCAGGCAGTATAGGGCATGTGGAATTATCTGTGGAAATCCTCTCTACAATGCTTGAGAGGCAATCGAGACTGGAAACAACAGAACTCTTCCCATGCTTTGGATCTGAAAAACAGACAAAAAGGTGCTCAGATTATCCAGTGGGTAATTAACATCAGTGGGCACTACACATTTGTGGGCATGTGAAGACTCAGAGGAAATGAGTATTGGTGAAGGACACCAATTATCAGAAAACAGATTGTAATTTCGAAATGGAAGAGAGGTCCAACCACAGTGTGCTGCTCTGGGGAAAGGGAGGATCTAAGGCTTCACTGAGTCCATAGAAAGGGAAGAGCAGATTTGAAATCAGTCATAAATTACTCCAATTTGGATCAATGATAGAGTACGAAGTCTTCATGTAGAATATGGATAATGCTGAAATTAGTTGCAGAGAATAACATACTTCTATCCAACTGTTAGATTTGCAAAATGGGAAATACAGATATAACACATCCCCATATTTGCAAATACACCTAGAAGAAATGCAGTGCCTCTACCAGCAACAATGGCTTGCTGGCTGGAAAGGCAGGTTTCTCTCTCAGCCCAGCTGGACAGGGAGCAGGCACAGGAAAGCTGCTGCACTGCCTGCCTCTGTCTCGGTGTTTCACACTGCCCTTAGGGCATGTACTCACCATTTGGGGACTCTGTGTAGTAGCTGCTGTCATAGCTGTTCCTTCTGCGAGAGCTGCAGGGAGGCCCGCTGTACTCCATCTGGGAAGGAGAGAAATCCAAGTGAGATCAGACTTTTACCCAAATCCCAGGAACCATCTAATTTCATATTTCAGGCTCTGGCCATCGTTCCAGTCCTGTCTGGAATGCCATCAAGTTGTAGATTCTCTGAGTAAGGAAAAACATGGCTAGAAGGGGGTCCACCCCAGGATATTTTATGTAGCACAGCTGTTCCACAGGAAAGTTATCACCCTTGCATCGAATGCTGCAGCTTTACAAATGAGATGAGGCTTTCAAGAATTCTGATCAGATACAGCCCTTCATGTATCTTTCGTTTACAACAGAGAGATTTGAGTGTCCTGAAACCTGTGTGAAATGTGAATTGTCTTTTTAATTTAGTTTTTAAAGATTTTTCTAAACATTAATTCCTCTTTAAAAGCCTCAGTCTACCCTGTTCCTTTGTATTTCCTTCAGTTTCTCTTCCCATTTCCATTTCATATAGAAAGTGCTCTATGAAATTGACTAATGCATTTTTTTTCCAATACTTTAATCCACAATGAAATTCCTCTATTAAAAGAGGTTGTATCTTGAAGAGGAATAATTTGTGTAAATCTCTCCAATGTGTTAAGTCTTTCATAATCACAGATACACAACTCAGTAGTGACTATCCCCACCAGAGCACAAAAAGCAATCTCTGGTCTGAAAGGGCAGTTCATGGCCTATCCAGAGAGCTGTCCTGGACTCTGGTCACCGCATCCTACCAGCCCAGAGTCACACCAGAGGCTGAACCTACAGCCCCAGCCAAAAGATGTGGGGGTGAGACACCCTCTCTGGCACCCACCCTTCTTCTCCCATGCCCATAATGTACAATCAAGATAAAAAGCCTGGATTCTCCTTCCTATTGCTTGTAAAGATCTATGGAGGGGATGAAGTGTGAGAGAAGAGAAATGGAGAATCTTTTTCTTAAGGGTCCAGAAAAATAACTCTTGTTGCTTAGACACTCCTCCTGTTGTAATGATGAATGGAAGAAAACAAAACCCAGACTCTTACCAGTTCCTGTGTAACTACCATGTCCTAGAGGGCCCTTGCTCTCTGCTGTCCTTAGAGGATTCAAAGGTAATGATACAGCAGAAGATGGAAACAGAGATGCCTCAGGAGCTACGGGATCACAGGCAATGCCCCCAGGGTGCCCATTCCAGGCAGCTTCCCAAAGTTCTCCCCCAGCAGCTTTTCCCTGGCTCCTCCAGGACATGGGGAACCTGCCTAACTTCTTATCCCAGGGAACAAAATGTGTATGAGATTCTTCTTTCCCAAAGCTCCTGTCATGTGGGGACCCCACCTCCCTTCGCCGCGAGTGCTCAAGGCACGAGAAAGGACTTTGTCTTCTGCCTGGGGAGGTACAGAAGGCAGCTGCTATAGGAAGGGCAGGTGACTTGTCCTGCTCAGGTTTGGACCAACAGCGTCCAGGGCACCTTGGTGGCAGGGAGTCCTCCCTGGGGCACTCACCATGCCATCGGAGCAGTTGGAGCGGGGGCTGGAGGCGTCCGACTCCCCGCTGTAGTGCTCCAGCACGGGGTAATAAGCGTCCTCCTGCTCCCGCAGCAGGGCCTGCAGGCTCTCGATGTAGCGGATGGCGTTGCGCAGGATCTCCACCTTGGGCAGGCGCTGGTTGGGGTTGGTGGAGGTGCAGCGCTTGAGGGTCTCGAAGGCCTCGTTGACCTTGCTGAGCCGCCGGCGCTCCCTCATGGTGGCGGCCTTACGGCGGTCGGCGTTGGTGGTCTTCCTCTTGCACGCCTTGCAGGCCCACAGCAGGCAGCGGCCAGCCTGGTGGTGCCCGCTGGGCGCCCGGACGTGCTCCTCCTCGTGCCCGTGGTGGTGCCCGTGGTGGTGCGGGTGCTCCTCGGGCTTCAGCAGACCCCCGACGTGCACCAGCCGCGGATCCAGGTCCTCGAAGAAGTGCATGTCCGACGTGTTGAAGCACGGGTCGTCGTAGAAGTCATCGGCGGCTGTGAAGGAGCAGAGGGAGCCCTCCGTCATCTCCATGGGGCCAAGTAAGTCCATGGGGGCGGCAGAGGGGACAGCGGCCCGGCCAGAGGGGACAGCGAGGGGCTCGGACGGAGGGGCCTTCCACCGGGCTGCTCTGGCGAGCCGAGACTCTCGCAGCCTCTGCCAGGCGAGGCCACCAGCGCTGGCTGCTGCCCCGACCCCTCCGCAGCCGCGCCGGTCCGGGAGCGCCACTCGGGGCCGTATTTATGGCCGAGCCCCCCGGCGCGGCGGGTCGGGACGGGGCGGGGCGGGTCGGGGGGCGCGGCCGGGCGGGTCGGGGGCCGGGGCGGCGGGGGGGCGCGGTGTCCCGCAGGGGCAGCGGCAGCCCGGGCGCTCGGATGCGCGCAGGGCTACATTTCCCCCGGGTTTTGTTTTTTCCTGCCTCAGCAGCCCGCCCTGCCGCCGCGCCGGGGAGAGCAGCCGCCCCGATGCCCGAAGGTGCCGGGTGCCGCTCGCCCGGGGGGACGCACCGAACACACCGGTGGCGGCTCCGCTGGTTCCTCACAGGGAAAAAGCCCCCAGCCCCTGGGCAGGTCTGTCCGCGGCTCCACGGCCACAAGGGTAATTACTGCGGGGGCGTTCGTGGGGGTGGGCGGCTCCAGGGGACACCGCGGGCAGCAGGGGCCGTGCGGGACGGCGGGGAAGCGGGGACACCGCGGGGACACGGCGGAGAGGCGGGAGGTGCGGGCAGAGGGGACGCGGGGACACCGCGGAGAAGCGGAAGGTGCGGGGCAGAGGGGACGCGGGGACACGGCGGAGAGGCGGGAGGTGCGGGCAGAGGGGACGCGGGGACACGGCGGAGAGGCGGGAGGTGCGGGCAGAGGGGACGCGGGGACACGGCGGACAGGCGGGAGGTGCGGGCAGAGGGGACGCGGGGACACGGCGGACAGGCGGGAG